TAGCCTTATAGGCTTCACCCTTTATGAAACACAATGGCCCCACGTATCTTATAGCCAAAGATAATGAGTTTCCCCGTTTTGTGACGCCAAACTCTTCAATCATCGATCGTTTTTGCATAAAAGGGGCTCCAACTATTGGTTTATTTCATGTCGGGACCAACGACAGACAACGATGAAATGAGATTGTGACATTTGGGTATGTTTAGGACATGCTATAAAACTACGATGTCTTTGTTTTGTATTTATGTTCTTTTGAATTGTTGGACACGAAAAATTCAGTGGTTGATGTTTTGGATTATTGTTGTCCATTCATTGCAATTTCCAAGTCGTTTCGTTTGGACTTTTTTGCTCGGTAGAATTGACCATTATTTATTTATTGTTTTTTTTCAACCCTTCCACTTCAAAGAATTAAATTAAGAATGTCGTGGTTAAGTAAGCTTCTTATTTGAGCTGTTCTAATGAGGTTGAATCTTGTTTACTTTTATTATGTTTTTTTAGCTATGACTCGACTCCAGCTCCTCCATCGAGGTTGAGTCTTTTATGGTTCCATAAAGTTTTTTTCTAGTTATGGCTCGACTCTAGCTCCTCCTCCAATGAGGTTGAGTCTTCTATGGTTCCATAAATTTTTTCTAGTTATGACTCGACTCCAACTCCTCCAATGAGGTTGAATCTTTTATGGACGTACATGTTATAAGCTCTAATGATGATGCAAAGTTAATTAATTAAACTCTTCAATTGAACAAGTTCATTCCGTATCTGCTGTGAATCTAAAGTTGCACTTTTGTGCACTGTAACATTGTCATTACACAATTTTTGTGATTTCGAGAAATTAGACCGTGAAGAAAAGACGAAATCAAATCCAAACTAAATAGAATCAAAATAAAACAACACTTAAGGAAACGAGGGTAAAGAGAAGAGAAAATGTTCTAGAGAGAGAAAGAGTGAAGTAACCACCACCAACTCCGTTCCAACCACGAGGAGTCTGATTTCAATCGAGTCTCCTTCACAAAACCTACACAGAACCTAGAGGAGAAGCATACTACACCTTTGAATCGTAGAAAAATCTATAGAAAAGTTGTTGAATCTTTTATTCTCGAATTTTCCTTAGATATGCGAGAAATATTATGAGTCAGGTTCTGTAATCTAAGGAGTATTGCGCCCATAGTCTATTGAGGAAGTTGTAGACGATTCGGATCGAAGATAGGAGTTCTGACCATCGTCAAGATTTATAAAAAAAAAAGATAAAATCATTGCACGAAATATCTCAATTCACATGTCTTCCCCTGAATAATTTAGATCAAATCATTTGTAATAATTATGAGCGGTGATATATAAGACACTCGAACTCATCCATATACAAAGAGGTTAAAGGAGAAGAGGATCCCACCAGAAAAGCCTACGGAGGAAGAGCGGGGCCTCCTCTGTCGGGTGGCACCCCGTTTGGGCGACAGAGCCAAAGCCAACCAACGCAAAAATTTGTGGGTAATGCCGAATCCTTTCCCTCTCCTTTTTCACTTGCGACAACCCAGTTATGTTCTTACACCAATCTTTCTTCTTTACATGTATTATTCCAACACACTCCCGTTTTCCATTTGTTATCCTCCGTTTTGTCTCCAAATTTCGAATCTGCCACTGCCCTTTTGATTGTGCCAACACAGGGCTTCGTTTTCGTATCTGGAATGCACTGATAGCGCCAATTCACTCAGCATGTAGCCAAGGTGTTTGTGATAATGCCTCAATGGGCTACAAGATTCTGGTTGACACTGCTTGCTTGTACTCTACTTTTTAGAATTCTTTTCCTCATATTTCGCCTTCTTTGCTTGCTTTTTGCTTTGCCTTTACAACATATACCCATCAGTTACTTGTTAACTTCATTGCCAATTGATGATTGAAATTTAGTTCTGTGTTTAGTTTGAGTTTGACTTTCTTGTTTTGCATGATTAAGAAATACCCATAAATGGAAATGAAAATGGAAATCTAATCTTATGGGATCTCGTATAGATTGGAGAGGAGAACGAAACATTCTTATAAAGGTGTGAAAAACTCTACCTAGATGACGTGCTTTAAAACTTTGAGGAAAAGTCCAAAGAGGACAATACTGCTAACGGTGGACTTAGCTGTTACAGATGGTATCAAAGCCAGACACCAGATGGTGTGCCATCGAAGACGCTAGCCCCCAAAGGGAGGGATTGTGAGGTTCCACATCAGTTGGAGAGGAGAATGAAACATTCCTTATAAGGGTGTGGAAACCTTTTCCTAGACGCATTTTGAAACTTTGAGGAAAAACCTAAAAAAGACAATATTTGGTAGCGGTAGTCTTTTGCAATTTTCCCTTATAATTTCAATACCTCTAAGAAACTAGTTGCTGAGTTGTTATTAATGCAGGCAATTCATTAGGCTGCTAACTGAGTGAGCCGATCGATTCTTGGGCCCAAGTTCAACATCTGTCAGAATTTATGCGCCTAGATTTCATGAGGTGATTATATTCTGACTCACTCACCAGCTTTGGTTCTTAAACAAAATGCATTCCCTTTTTGTTAGATTTCGTTGTCCAATCCATTATAAATATTAGATAATTGTAACAGCGGGATATGGTTAAATATGGTCCTCTTTGAATTTTTTTTTTTTTTATTTCCTTTAAAAGTTTTTAAAATACATTTATTAGGGATAAATTTTACACCCGTATGAAAAATGTTTTGTTTCCCTCTCCAACCGATGTGAGATCTCACAGTACACCCCTTGAAGTTCAGCGTCCTCGCTGGCATACCGTCCAACACCATTTGTAACAGTCTAAGCCCACTGCTAGCAGATATTATCTTCTTTGGACTTTCTCTTTCGGGTTTTCCCTCAAGGTTTTTAAAACGCGTCTGCTAGGGAGATGTTTCACACTCTTATGAGAAGTGTTTTGTTCCCCTTTCCAACCAATGTGAGATCTCATAATCCACCTCTTGGAGGTCCAGTGTCCTCGCTGGCACACTGCCCGATACCATTTGTAACAGTCCAAACCTACCGCTAGTAGATATTGTCCCTTTTGGGCTTTCCTTTTCGGACTTCATCTCAAGGTTTTTAAAATGTGTCTCCAAGGGAAATGTTTCACAATCTTATGGAAAATGTTTCGTTCCTCCCTCCAATGATGTGAGATCTCGCAATAAACGATTTAGGACCACACTAAGTAAAGGATATGTGATACCTTCTTATCGTGAGGCTAAAAATCACTTGATCATAGGCTAGGAAGCGGTTATGTAGGACCCATATTCGCCTCTCAATCTCATCAGTTGTAGTTGACAAAGGGCATCAAGGAAATAAATTTTAAACATATCAGCAAACCACGAGAATCCGATGCAGAGACAATGTTGAAGATGACTTCCAACCGCCTAATAAATGCAATTTTAAGCATTCATTAATCGACCTTTACGACCAAAACAAGCTTTCACTTACCCCATCCTCTCATCATTTCTTCCGTTTTCAATCAACTTATTAAAAAAAGATCTCTTCTTTCCCCTCTTTCGAAGTCACACTAACGTTGTTCTTCGTTCTTTTCTGTTGTGTTGCTTCTTTACCCTATGGTTTTACAATATTTGTTACTGTTCATGAATTTCTCTCTTTTTGTTTGTTTGTTAAGAATGTTTGAAGGCTATCTTCAAGCAAAAAGCGGAACACATTTTGGCATCCAAATATATTTTTTACAGTTGGAAAATTTGGGAAAGTTTTCCCTAACAGTACTCTACACATACTTTGTGAGATCAAGAACGAAGTATTCTTTATAAGGGTGTAGAAAGCTCTACCTAGCATATGCGTTTTAAAATCTTGAGGGAAGTCTGGAAGGAAAAGTTCAAAGAAGATAATATCTATTACTGGTGGGCTTAAGCGGTTACAAATGGTATCAAAGTTTGACATCGGGAGATATGCCAGCAAGGACGCTAGGCTCCAAAGGAGATGGATTGTGAAATTGAGCCCCAAAGGGGTGGGCACGAGGCAGTGTGCCAGGAAGGATGTTGGGCCCCGAAGAGGATGGATTGTGAGAGCCTACATCGGTTGAGAGAGAACGAAACATTTCTTATAAGGGTGTAGAAACTTCTTACTATCAGACACGTTTTAAAAAAGCTGGAGAGGAAGCTCGAAAGGGAAAGCTCAAATAAGACAATATCGGATAGCGTTCCACTTAGACTATTACACACTTGAATATATATATATATATATATATATATATATATATATATATATATATATATATATTATATAGAAGGGGCCATGAGTATAGTGAAATAGAGCGTTTTGTTTAGGATTTGATAGGGATAAACATATTTTAATTCCTGCTTTTGGAGACACTTTACTTTTTTTTTTCTTCTTTTAATAATATTTCTAGAAACTTGAAACTAAAGTTCAGGCATAGATATATTGGAGATTTTAATTAGAAGAGAAATGGAGACTTTTTCTCTTAATTTTGCTCTAATATTTGCCTTTTGAGAATTAATAATGGATTGGAGGACTGTATGAAGGGATACGATGTTGCTTATAAATTAGTATTTGACTAAAATAATCTGTGTGAGAGAGCCCACCGTAAAAAAAAATTGCTATGGCAATGATGAGGGCGAGGGCCCGGCGGTGGGCGCAGGATAAGCACGTGGGCTTCTCCTTGTGAAGTGCACGCTGGCAGAGCGATGCCTATGGGACCCTTAAAAAGCAAAACCATATTCTTCTTCAGGTAACATAAAAATATTAACAAAATATTCTGCAGTTTTTGTGTTTTTTCTAATCCCCAGACCCTGATGATTGGTTGGCTTATTGCATACTTTGAGGATGGGATCCTATATCAATCGGAGAGGCGAAGCATTCGAAAACCTCTTTCTATCATACGCGTTTTAAAATTTTGAGGATAAACTCGAAAGGGAAAGTTCAAAGAGGACAATATTTGCTAACAAATGGTATCATAGCTAAGTACCGGGCGGTATGCCAGCGAGAACGCTTGGCTTCTAAGGGGTGGATTGTGAGATCTTATATCTATTAGAGAGAAGAACGCTTATAAGGTTTTACGGGGAGAGAGCTAAAAAGCTTCAAAATCTTAAGCCTCCGGTCGTTCTGTTCATCTTAAAAACCCCATTTTTTTGCATGTTCTTTTTGTCTACATTCTGTATTACCCTTTCTAGTTCGTGTAATTTGCTGTGAGGTAAGTTTTCTGTGCTAAATTTTGGCCCTTGATTGATAAGGGTGGGTGTGCTGTATTTGTATTTTGTTGGGATTGCAGTGACTTCGATTCGTTGTTTTCCTGTCCATATCACATGGGGTAGAATTTGACTGAAAGGACACGGCCTTTGTAATGTTCGATCTTCTGGGTTTCTGTCACTTTGACTATTGCTGCTATCATAAATTCTGTATTATATATCAATCCCACATCAACCAGCCCTCTTACTTTCCCTTCCCTTCTTGGCGCTAATCCCCTGTTCAAGGACAACCGTCTGTGGCTGTTGGTGAACTTGAAGGGTGGCCTTTCATTATCCAGCAGCAGAATAATTTCTTTGATGCATACACATCAAGCGTATCTGATGAACACCGAATCTTAGAACACATTAGGAGAAGAAGCATTCAACATGAAGTTTATGAAACTTGGATCTCGACCAGACACTTTCTACACTGCTGAGGCTGTAAGGTAAGATCCTTTTTTCAAACCTTTCCAATTGGTGTTATGATCTGAAGGGAATTTTCGTTTTTTTGTTGTGAATTCAGGTCAGTTTCTTCTGAAGTCTCTAGTGATCTCATAATTCAAGTGAAAGGAAGTAGATATCTGCTTCACAAGGTAAAACCAAGCGATTTTTTTAATGAATTGTGCTTTGTGAATGTGTGTTAGTGGCATCATTTTGAGCTGATTCTTATGTTCTTGTCATACAGTTTCCTCTTCTGTCCAAGTGTTTACGCCTGCAGAAACTATGCGCCGAGTCCCCGGAATCCTCACTGCATCAAATAGTCCAGCTTCCTGATTTTCCAGGCGGCCTCGAGGCGTTCGAACTATGTGCAAAGTTCTGTTATGGCATAACGATTACTCTCAGCGCTCACAACATTGTATCGGCTCGATGTGCGGCCGAGTATCTTCAGATGACAGAGGATGTAGAGAAGGGGAATTTAATTTACAAGCTTGAAGTGTTCTTCAGTTCTTGCATTCTTCATGGTTGGAGAGATACAATTGTGACATTGCAAAGCACCAAAGCATTTCCTTGGTCAGAGGAGCTTGGAATCACAAGCAAATGTATAGAAGTGATTGCATCAAAAGTCCTTATTCATCCATCAAAAGTGAATCTTTCACATAGTCATTCCCGACGACTTAAGGACGATATCTCGTGCAATGGCGTCGATAGCCAACGACACAAACAGGCAACCAGGGGTTGGTGGGCTGAAGATGTTGCAGAACTCAACATAGACCTCTACTGGAGAACCGTGATAGCTATTAAATCACATGGGAAAGTGCCCTCCAATTTAATTGGAGATGCACTGAAAGTTTATGCTTCGAAATGGCTCCCGAGTATATCGAGGAATGATTTTGTCGATGCATCTGACTCGGATTCAGACAAGGCCAATGAGTTATCTGCAAAGCACAGACTGCTCTTGGAATCACTAATAAGCTTACTCCCAGCAGAGAAAGGTTCTGCTTCTTGCAGTTTCCTTCTCAAACTTCTAAAAGCAGCCAATATTCTTAGTGCCTCGCATGCTTCAAAAATGGAACTGGCCAGAAGAGTGGGAGTCCAATTAGAGGAAGCAATGGTCATAGATTTGTTAATACCTTCCCTATCATACACAACTCAGATGGTATATGATGTAGATATAGTAATGACCATAATTGAGCATTTCATGTTACAATGGCAGAGTCCCCCGACAAGCCCTCCGAGATCAAGGATCGGTTTTGAAAGGAGAAGGTCTCGCTCGGCCGAAAATATTGATTTTGAGTTACAGGAAAGTAGAAGGTCTTCTTCTGCTTCTCATAGCTCAAAGTTGAAAGTTGCTAAGCTTGTGGACAGATATCTTCAAGAAGTCGCTCGAGATGTGAATTTGCCGTTATCTAAGTTCACGTCAATCGCCGAGTCGGTCCCGGAGTTTGCAAGGCTGGATCATGATGATTTGTACAAAGCTATTGACATCTACCTTAAGGTAACTCAACTGTGGTAGCTTCATGCTTTACATTACTTCTACCATTGACATTATTTCCAAACAAATAGTTCTAAAAGGTTTCAACATCATACTTTAGGATGTGGGGGCACCAATGCAAGTAGATAACCAACTCTATTGACCTTAAAATCTTGTCATTCTCACCATTTATTAGCAGTTGGGATAAGACTGGCCCATAAGAAACAAATTAGTGGGGACTAATCATTCTAAATTTAGGTGTAATATCTTTGGGTCCTAAGTTCATAGACCTAACAAGAAAATGTTTGGTTGATTCATATAACAGCTCAAGCCCACCGCTATCAGGTATTGTCTTCTTTAGACTTTTTCTTTCGGGTTTTCCCTCAAAGTTTTTAAAACGCGTCTATTAGGGAGAGGTTTCATACCCTTGTAAAGAATGATTGGTTGAAGTTTTAAAATCATTCATGTAACAGCACTAAGCCGTACCGCTAGCCGATATTGTCCTCCTTGAGCTTTTCCTTTTGAGTTTCCCCTCTATGTTTTAAAACACGTCTATTAAGGAGAGATTTCCACACCCTTATAAAGAATGTTAGGTTGAAGTTTAAAAATTATTCCTGTAATAGTCCAAGTTCATCGCTAGCAGGGTTTTCCCTTCTGGGTTTCTCCTCAAAGTTTTAAAACGCGTCTCCTAGGAAGAGGTTTCCACACCCTTATAAAAAATGCTTCGGTCTCCTCCCCAATCGACGTGGGATCTCACAAATTCAAGTTTTGGTTGTCCATCTCATAACACTGTTATTTATGACTAGCCCTGATCTTTGTCTTAATGTTTCAAACATACATTTAGAATCCATTATGCTTAAGGATTTTCCTTCATGCTTACTTTACTAAGAGAATCATTGGGCTTCATAGCTGAAGGGATCCCTTTTGAATCTTAACTTTGAAGAAAAGCCTAAGAGCATTATCAGGAGATATGCTTCATTGGGCTTCAATCTATGCTAGATTTCAGAATCATTTGCTTTGTAAAAGTTCTCAAAGAGGTCAAATAACAGTTGTGTTATTGTAACTAAAAATGCAGGCACATCCAGACATGGGAAAGAGCGAAAGGAAGCGATTATGTCGAATTCTCGACTGCAAAAAACTCTCCGTTGAGGCTTGTATGCACGCTGCACAAAACGAGCTACTCCCTTTAAGGGTAGTGGTACAAGTCCTCTTCTTTGAGCAAGCAAGGGCAACAATGGCTGGTAGCAAAGTGGCCGAGCTGCCAAGCAACATAAAGGCACTTTTGGCTGCCCATAATATCGACCCGTCGAAGCCACCAGCACCATTAAGTACTACCACGAGCGTTCAAGCAGACGACCAACAGAGCATCTCAGGGTTGAAATCACCAAAATCCAAGCTTTCTACCTTGCAAATGAAGCTAGCTGAAGATGACTACTTGAATGAAAATGATATGCACCCTGATGGAATGTCAAGGCCCTCTAAGTTCAAGGCTTTCTGTTCTCTCCCAACTCGACCGAAACGGATCTTCAGTAAGTTATGGTTTACTAACAGAAGTATCATGGAGAAGAATTGAGTGAATTTTGTTCCTTTTGGGGTTGAACATATTCTCTGTTCTTTTGGCTTTTGATATTAGATAAGTTCTTTGTAAGAAGTTGCAGCCTTTTAGACAAGAGATTTAAGAATCTCAATGAGTATTAGTGGTGTAATCTATTATAAATAAGAACTGAAATTGTAAGAAATGTGGATCTGTTTGTGGTACTTGGCCACGTGAAGCCAATGTTCTTGTTCTTGAATATGAACAAGAATCCATTGTCCCATTGGTTCTGTAAAGTTTTGGACTTTCAGGGCTATCACTTGCTTTCTTCTTGTTTTGACATGTTGTTGAGCCTTATAATGGAGCATTACCCTCGTGCTTCGTTTTTGTCTTTAATATTATTCCAAAGTAGATGATCGAATATGAATTAGTGGGTTGATTTGAAATGTTTCCTCGAGTGCCTGATCGAAGCAGGAGCGGGTGGGGTAGAACTCGTGAACTTTAGCGTAACACCTCAAGCCCACTGCTTACAGATATTGTTCTCTTTGAAATTTCTCTTTTGAGCTTCTCCTTAAGGTTTTAAAACACGTTTGCTAGGGGGAGGTTTTCACGCCCTTATAAAGAATGTTTTGTTCTACTCTCAACTGATGTGGCACAATTCACTCATCTTCAGAGCCTAACGTTCTTGGGGGCACTCATTCCCCTTTCTAATTGATGTGGGATTCTCACAATCCACCCTCCTTCACTCGTTCTTCTCTCCAATCGATGTGGGGTCTCAAATTTAGTCTTTTCACTTTTCGATCTACGATCCTTCAAAATGAGGAGTTAGGCTAGTTTGGCCCTCTGACTTTTAGCTGTGTTTATGGCTTTCTTGAGGCGAATGCAAGAAAGTTAACAAATAAGGTAAGTAAGTTATCCACCCCCTTCAAGACCTAGCGTTCTCGCTAACACTCATTTTTCTCTCCAATCGATGTGGAGTCTCACATTTAGTCCTTTCACTTTTTGATCTACGATCCTTCAAAATGAGGAGTTAGGTTGGTTTGGCCCTCTGACTTTTAGCTGTGTTTGTGGCTTTCGTGAAGCGAATGCAAGGAAGTTAACAAATAACGAGTCCTTTTTTATTCTTTTATGAGGATCAAAGAGTAATGAGATATAGATTTAAAGTAAATTAATTTATTAAAAATATGTATTTTTTTATTGATAGTTCTTTCACACTGTTAGACTGGGCTGGACTAATGTTGGGCCTGTGAGGCTAATGGGCTTTGGGTTGGAGGCTAACGTGGGTTATGGGCCCACCACGCTTCCGCTCCGCCACTCCAATGAAGATTTGAAGAGTAAGCAAACCCCTTCACTAAAATGAAATGTGACAAAATAAAAAACTACTTTAGGACGGGAATTTTTCAAACGATCATGAGGACCAAAATCTTTCATTTGAACATCAGATAGTCATACTTCTACCGTAGTTACTCAAGTTGAGCCCTAATCATCAAGAATGATAGATTCTCAAAGTGTCCCATGATTCACGTGTTACATGTTGATATCATGTGTAAATATTAACATAAAAAAGGATGGTCGAGACCAATTATGGCCAGCTAATTGTGACAGGCCAAGTGAGTGCGGCCACATCTTCGACATGTTTCCTCTTTCAATATCGATACGCCATTTGTACAAATGAGATTTTTCACCGTTTAGTTCAGTTGAAAGGAGAATCTTACCTGAGCGTAAGGACATAAATAATCTCCCAAGAGTTTTATGCAATATTAGAGGTAATTCAAAGACTTCTTTTAAAGTCTCGCATTTTCTTTACAAAATTGATAGGTTCGTGAATCCGTTCGATGAGAATCCTATGAATAATTCAAGAACTACCACAAAGTAATAAGTTCACCAATTTAAAGGAGAATCTTACACCCAATAAGATTACAATCATCCCTACTCGGTGAAACTGAACAATGAATCGTATCCAAAGAGTCGTGACTAAAAAAGCCAACATATAGTAAAACGAGCTATTAGTAAAACTGAACCATACGAACAAACCTCAAGTCCAAAAAATCAAGAAACTAAAAAGACTAAAAAAGCCAACATATAGTAAAACGAGCTAAAACACGAGAACATCATGCCACCAAACACGAGAAAGAACAAAAACTTGGAGCATACGACGCACATATCTATCGTGTATTATGTTCTTTCCAATTTTAAGACCTTTTTGTCCTAACCCTAATCGAATCAACATATCCTTAATCAACGCGAAACCTACTTCAAATCGTAGCCGATAAGCTCCACCAAGCGCATCAATACACATATCTTTCCTATCTTCTAAACCATGTTCTTCAAATTAATTTTAACTTTGTTAATCTTTTATCCCGCCCCTATCTAAAGTGATGCTAGACTGCTTCACCTTCGCCCTTCACAAAGACAGGTGCGGGTACGATTCACTCGACCAGACGATGATGACTATTCCTCACAGTTGTAAATTATTTTCGAAGCAAGATGCTTTAAGGGACAAGCGTGTGAAAGTCAACCCTATACAAAAGAGTGCTCCATAACTCCGGTGTACCTTTCAAATTTGAAAAATTGGTGATATACGTCTAGGGTTTGTATGTTCCGAATTGAAAAGTCAAAACCACAATAGAAAATACAATAAATAAAGATTACATTTTTTTTTAGCTATCTATAAAAAGCTACAACAGTACTAAAACCATACAAACATGAAAGTCAAAGCTTAGCATAATACGATAATGTCCTTTGTTTCTTTCCTCTATAGTTAATAATGCCACGTATACAACCCATAATCGTGACACGTGGTCAAATTAATTAGTTTAATTAATTTAACCTTAAACATTCTGCATGTTGGCCGTAAAAGCATTCAAGAACTCCGGGTACTGAAATATATTCTCCATTATTCATCGCCGGTTCTTCCGACCCATACCCATACGACGGCTGGTTCAAATTCCCCAACTGAGCCGCTCCGGTTTGGTAATTGTACGAGTATCCGGTTTGTTGCTGTTGAAACCCGGTTTGGTGGTAATTCGTGTCGGAAACGACGTTTGGCGGTTGTGGATTCTGTGACTTCTTCGTCGGTTTAGGGAAAAAACCGTGAATGATCTCTTCTAGAAGACCGGAATCGGACGGTTCTTTTGGAATGAACTCGGAATCGCATAAGAAATCGTCCTCGCCAGGTGGATTTTCGGTTATTGGGGGAGAAGTAAAAGACGGTTTTGGACATGGGAAATGGTCGTCTATTGAAGGAAACTGAGGGGTAGATGAGACAAAGTTTGCGTCGTACGGAAGAAGCATGTTGAGGAAAGACGGAGGGTCATGATATTCAAACGACGACGTATCGAAACGACGAGGAATTGGCGATTGTTTGGCGAAGTTTAAAGGAGAAAGAAGTTGATCGGAGAGGGAAGGCGGCGGAGGAGGAGGAGTTGGAGGAGGAGGAGGGTAAACAAAATTAGTACGAGCTTTAAGTCCACGCATGGCACGTGCAGCACAATCATAAGCACGTGCAGCTTCTTCCGCCGTGTCGAAGGTACCAAGCCACCGCCGTTCTTTCGAGTGCGGGTCACGTATCTCAGCTGCGTAACGACCCCACGGCCTTCGCCGGACGCCACGGTATCGCAACGCACCGGAAGCGGAAGCCTCGCGGAGGATGCGACGGTCGGCGTTACTAGCCGTGGCGGTGTGTTTCTTACGGGTGTCAGTGGGAGCGGCGGCGTCGTCGTCGAACTGCGACGCCGGTAAAGGCATTCCGTTGAGCCGCCGTAGTGCTTCCTCCATGAAAAAAAACAAAAATTGACTGTTTTGGTTTGGGTTAAACGCTCGTGCAAAGATACGGTGAAATCACTGGTTGGGGTTAAATTTATAGAGAAACTTACGACGTCGTTTAATTAAACGGTAATGTTGGTGAGAACGGTTATTTAGTAAGGTTGAAAACGGCGTCGTATGAGAGGTGGGGATTAGGAAGGGGGTTTATTAAAATTAATTATTTTATGGGAAGTTGGAGAAGACAGCAATTGTCATAATCTATCAGAATGATTACACTGGCGGCGCTCAGAAGTTGTTCCTCCTCCTTTGGCCTTTTCTCTGTATCCTACTCCATTTTTTGTGTGCCCTTTTTTATTTCCTTAATCATAAATCCCTAATCTTCATATTGGCCATGTTTAGGATGTCGAGGACGCCGGTCTAACAGTCTAAGCCCACTGCTAATAAATATTATCTCGCTTTCACGTTTGCTAGGCTGACCACACTCTTATAATGAATATTTCGTTCCCCTTGTGATCTCATAATCCATCCCCATTGGGGGATACACTGCCCAATAATGTTCATTTTCCTCTCTAATCGATGTGGGATCTCACAATTCTCTCCCTCTTGGAGGCCCAATGTCCTTGCTAACAAGCCACACTGTGTCTAGCACTGATGTCACTTGTAACAGCTCAATCCCATCGTTAGTAGATATTGTCCTCGTTAGGGTTTCCCTTTATGGACTTCCCCTCAATGTTTTAAAACACGTCTATTAGTGAGAGGCTTTCACATACTTATAAAAAAATGTTTTGTTTCCATCTCTAACCAATGTGGAATCCCACCGTTGGAATTCGACATTGGCTAATTAAATGAAAGATCATTAGTATATACCTAAGAAACATTGTCTCCATTAATACGACACCTTTTGAAGAAGCCAAAAGTAAAGCTACGAAACCTTATTCTCATAGTGAACAATATCATATCACTGTGAAAATTCATACATTACTAAAGTCATGCCCTTGTCTTAACTTAATCGTGCCAATAAAACCCTCCTAAGTTAGGGACATTATAACTACTACATTTAACCCCACTCTCAAAATTGGCCAATGTTCTATCCAACTCGAAGAAATCTTTATAAGCATTTAATCCATCGAACTCTTGTCAATTACGAGTTTCACATAGCGCGCAACTCGTTGGAGCCTTTGAGTTCTATGGTGTTACAACGACCTATTTGTTTTCAGTACTCAAGGAGTGACCCCAATCTAGTATAATTCACGAGCCTTTTTTTTTTTTTCTTTTTTTTAATTATTATTATTTTTTAATTAAAAGACAGGTAATGTTCACACATGTTTTTCTTGTCTTCCTTTTGTGTCTGCAACACTGCAAACTTTTTTCAAACCCTTTCTGCAAGCCCTTTTTAATACACATGTCAGCCACACGTCCAACCCCAACCCCAACTATTTCGTAATTGGGTTAACGCAATCGTCCATGTTTTACACAACTTCTCCAAATTCAACCACCCACCTCCGGCGCGGTGGCGGT